TTTATTAAAATTAATGAAAACAATTTTATATCGACAAACATTTGATCAAAAACAACAAACATAAAATCAAGTTTATTTTTTTTTATTTTATTTTATTCTATATTATTTTTTAAAACTAATAGAAATTAAAATCAAAAGATAAAAAACATTTAACAAATACAAAAGAACAATACGAAACAATTGAAAAAATGATACCTATTTAAAAAATTCTTCAAGAAGACAAAACAAATTCAAATTAAAACTGATCTCGACGACAGATAGCACAACTTAAATTCAATTTTACATTAAATTATTGATTTTAGATTGATATTATTTTGTTATGTGCATTATTAGATTTAACATATTACTAACAAATAGATAAGTCCAAACAACAATATTCAAGTGATTATCTCATCATGGTATGTTTTTCAAATTTGCTTAGTTATTGACGAAAATTCTGAAATAGTCTAAAGGTCAAGTCATTTAAGTGAGATTATCGAATTTCAACATGTTAAGCTGTTACTTTTGATTCTATTCTATTGACTAAACTTGTAAAATCAGACCCGCACCCGCGCGAAGGGTCGACAATTGAGGGGGGGGGGGTGTAGCGGGTTTTGAAAGAGTGTAAAAAATATTTGGGGGGGGGGGGCGGGGTGTAAAAGGATATTTAGAGCAAAATTTGCTAAAAAAATACAGAATTTGTTCTAAATCAGCTCCCGTCATTGAATAAAACAAAAATTTCCAATTATTGAGGAGTGTACACCCCCTCACCCCGCCCCCCACCGCTAGCGCGGGTGCTGAATCAAACAAAAACTACCATCCTACTTGTCGATTATAATTTTGATTTGCATTTTGATCTTTGAATAACTCGAATAATTTTCTATTCGTAATACAATTCGTTTCTTTTTCATCTAGAAAAATAAAACAGATCAACATTTATCTACTGGATGTCTTCAATTATCTGGTTTAAGTATTCGTGGTCGTGCAATGCTTTCACATGAAAGTTTATCACGCGAACGTGAAACACTTGAATATGCTTGACAAATGGAAATTATACTTGGTAAAATCTCAGCTCGTTTAACAACAATTCAAGTAAGATATCAGAAATAAAAAAACACTTTTTTTTGTAAATAATATCATTTTATTGTTTTTACTTTTAGTTAGAAGAGACCTTAGGTTTTGTTAAAAAACTTTGTTTACAAATAATGAAAGATGAATATACTCTTGTTTGTTCACCATATATCGATAAAGCAAAATGGATTGAAAAACTTAAATATGATGTACTTAGATTTAGTTTAGATTCAGTTGATCTTAATCTTATTGAGGTTGAAAATGCTGTTAATATTCAAGTATGAAATATTCTGTATATATTTCTTCGTCTTCCATAATTTTCTTGTTTTAGATAGCACCTATTCGTTTATATAGGTGTAGTACACATACATCACTATGTAATGAAAGTTTAACATTAAAAGTTGGTACAATACATATTCGCCAATTATTACGTCTTTATACTGGTTCATGGTTAGAAGCAGGTTTAGTTAGCGTCCCTGAATTACATATTAATGCAAAATTTGAATGTCATCCACGAACACTAGCTACTATTAATCAACAATCAGAATTTCTTTGTTGATATGATCAACATTCTCAACGACCTCATTTTCTTTATAATCCTAAATCTCAACAAACATTAAATATTCCAACGATATCAACAAATTTAAAACGTTCATCTTAGGTTGGTTTAGCAACAAATTGTAATATATTATCATGCGCACGTCGTGGTGGTTCAACAAATTATTATACACTTATACAAGGTGAACAATTTTGTTAAAAGTATATTTCATCCTAGTGAACAATCATCATTTGGTCGTTCATTATTTCATTCTGATTTACATGTTTTACATTCACATTTTATATTTGAACATGTTAATCGATTTCATGATGAATTAGATGATGAAGACATTTTTTATCCATTTGATTTTTGTGGACAACAAAAACAATCTAATGAACAACATCAAAATAGAAATGATAGTCCAATACGATTTGGTGGACCTACAGATTTATATTCATGATCACGTGCTACTTCATTAAGAAATTTAAAACTTAAATCAGTTATTGAACGAAATGAACATAAACGTTCATCATCATCATCATCATCAATACCATTAAATAATATAAATATTGTTTCATCATTATCACCTCAAACAGTAGGAAGTGATGATTATTTAACACCTAATGAACATTTATCATTAACAAGTGCAAGTCAAACAAGTTTTAATTCAACTTTAAATAATACAAATAATATTATGGAGTCATCGTCAACATCATCATTAACTATGATGCAACAACAATCATCAACTTTATCCTCGCCATTACATTCAGATTTAAATTTATTTTTAACATCAATTGGTAATAAACAAAATCTATCAACAAATTCATCACGTTCATCATCAATCGATTCATTAATAGCTCTACAAAAGAATACTTCAAAGACAACACGCAAGAAATAGTTGAACATTTCTACCTTAAAAGTATGTATATCATTTGAAAGAAAAATCAATCATACGTTTTCTTTGTTCTGAGATATTAGATTTATTTTGTTTAGTGAGATAACTGTAACTATAAAAATCGACATCAGTTATTTTTTCTACTACTTGATATACTAACTAACTTATTTCATATATAAAACAAACTAGACTGATTGATTTCGATTTTAAGCCTTTCAAAAAAGAATTATCTCGATTTCTTCAATTCATATTATACATAGTTAAATACATTAAAAAATTATATTTAGATTTTTCAAATAATAAGAATTGAATAGTTTATTTAAAGATGAGATATAACAGAAATGTTTCTATCTTTTAGGAAACTTCATCAAATATTGATTATAATACTGTACCACAATCATCTCTTCCTAATTCTCCATGGATAAGTTTACGTAATCAAATGAAAATACCTATACCAAAATCGACTCTTTTATGTACAACATATATTCGTTATTTATCTTATTATCGTTCTTCAACATGGTCCAATATCGCTGCATTCCCACCAACTATTCAAGAACATCGAATTCTTGACCACGTCTTTCAATTGCTCAAACAATGTCACCAACAAATACATCAAATATAATTGCTACAGAAAGAGAAGTATGTCTTCGATTTATTGGAGCATTTAATTTTCTTTTAACACCACTTATGCTTGAATGTTTAACAACATATGATATTCATCCAATATCTACTCTTGATGGTCTTCATGT